TTACACACATCACTGAACACGTAGTGCTCATAAAAATCGTTGTTTCTTAAAACTTTAATATGAAGATATCGCAATATTTTTTTAGATAAGGGCCAAGTGTCTAAGAAATAAAACTTAGAAAACCTAATTGAAATCTATCCATTAGTTTTTCCTTGATGCGCGCAAAACTGCAAACTTGGTATCATTTTATTTATATAGATACTCGTATAATAGAAGATACAAATAAGTAATAAATATCAGATATTTACGAGATTCGTATGCGATGATTTTCTGAATGCCTAGGAAGTTCATATGTAATACTTTAACCATAGACGTAGAATAGACTGACTGACGTAATTTTAACTTACTCTTTCATTTCGTATAGTGTATTTAAAAATAAATAAATGACGTACGGATATAATTTAAGAACTTATTTTTATTCGTCTAGTTATAAGCCTTACGATTATTATTATTTTCACATAAATACGTCTTAAACACAGCAATCATAATAAGTACTGTTGTTACACAAACGTCTTATTATCTTCATTTTACATCTTGTTTGGCATTATATCAAGTATCTATTAAATCAGCAATTTGTAATTGTTGACACACAAGTTTTTCTTTTTGTACTGTTAACGTTCTAATGTTTTATTGCTAAACGTCATTTGTTTTTGCTGCATGATATAAATTTTCGTAATTTTTTTATTACAAGTTCTTTTTCACAGCATAATAATGATTTATATGTAGGAATATACATATTTTTTTATTATCTATCTTTATTTAAAAAGGCTTTTATCCTACAAGGATATGTCAGCCTTATCGTAACCTAACTTATTATCCCCCTTTCTAAATGCTATTTAGAAAGGGGCAATCAATGTGGTAAGAATATGGAAATGAATGATTTTGCTACCACTGAGTGTGGCTCTGCACTTTTTTGTTACAATTTTCATGAAAAATTACCGATCGATTATATTGCGGTTATATGCATTTTCTGGCCATAGTTCGTTATGTTGTGCTGTAATCGTGATTTTTATTTTTTACTATGTTACTATTTCCTGGAAATTGGACTAATTATAACACGGTTAAGAAGGTTCTTAAATGTGTTGCCATGTTTAACTTAGTATATAAATCTCCAAAAAAAATTCCAGCAAAAGAAAAGTAAAGCGAGATGGGAGGGTAACATTATTACTCGGATCATATATATTTAATAAGAGCTAAGTGCAAAACAGCTTCCTTGGCACTTTAATAAATATAGAAATCTTAAAATATTTATATGAAAAATATATTCATAATCAAAGAAAAAATAATGTACCTGCCAACCTGCAAACTAAGTCAGGATCATTTAGAAATATTTTTTCTTGCATTCGAATGCAAGGTGGATTTAATGACAACCCTAATGTCAGACAGTTCAAAAGTTGCTACAGAAAACTGCTGGCACATCTAGATTTTAGGTGCTTAACTACAGGAAATTGTGTTCCTTTGGAACATATTGCTGTGCTTAATTGCACTTCGGCTACTCAAATAATCAATTCCACCACACCATCATACCGTCACGAAGAAGGTGATGATAGTATTTGTGATTCATTATCATTTTTAAATGAAATTACTGAAGAAGATGATAAGCTAGCTTAGCGTCTAGGGGTAGAATCACATAATGACAATTGTAAGTTAATAATAGGATATCTGGCTTTGCTTATTATGCAACAAAAAAAATAAATGCCAAAAATGCACCGCGCGTTTGTATACTGTAGAAAGGCATTTCATTCATAAATAAATAAATTTGAAAAATAATAAATAAATTTAGGAGGTTTACGTTTTCCATCTAACGTTTTATTTAATATTTGTTTTACTTGCGAAATGGTTGTACGAAAGATTATTATGGAAAACATTACAATGTACAATGAAAGGCAACAAAAGTATATACTTCTAAAATACTAGAAAAGTTTATTGCTAATGACAGGGTTTTTGTAAGCTTGGAATTTGAGCACACATTCGCAGGGATAGAGCACAAGATAAGTCTTATTAAAATTTATTAAAAATTAATATAAGACCTTATTTATACGTCCATGATCTATACATATAAATAAAACTGATGTGTCAGTTTTTAATATCTAAATAAGATTTTTACTAAATACATATGAAAATATATACGGTATTTACTTATAACAAAAACACAATTTTAAAATTTTCGTCTGTTTCTTCTGACTAATCTCTGGAATGGCTAGACCGATTTTGACGGAACTTTCACTGGCAGATAGCTGATGTTATAAGGAGTAACTTAGGTTTTTGTTTAAAAAAAACTACAAAAAAAAAGAAATTAGAACCCATAAAATCCAATCGTAATGAATTACACGCGTTTATTGTGCGACTAGCTGTGCCCGCGGCGTAGCTCGCGTATATAGATTTTACATAAAGAATTTGTCGTTTAGGTAAGAGAATATTAAACGATTTATATCATTACTGTATCAATAAGTGGTAACAAATAAATTATTATCATCAAAGTTCTAAGTAGTTTATGATAGAGCTTCTGTGTAAACGACGTTAGAAGTAGGCTTAGCCGGGGTGTACACAAAAAGGTTACGGGGGCTACTAACGCGGGAAAAAGCAACATAGAGTTGGCCATGTGCAAAACAGTCAGTACTGAGGTCCACTCTTACAACGCGTAAATTTTGAACTTGCACTTTATTTACGGTCATCGCAAAACACACGCTGACTGTAACTGGGAACTGAACACGCTTAAAACTGAAGGGAAAGTTACTTCTTAATAGAGGGTTTTTTGGCAGTGCTGCCAGATCAAAAAAACTCATTCAGCGCTAGGACAACACAAAAAGCGCTAGATTTCATGAAAACAGCGCTTTAAAAAGCCCTAGATTTTGCGCTAAATTAACTACAAACAAAGTTTGTGTTTTTTATTATAATTTATAATTCAAGAAAATATAATCAAAATAAAGAAAACAACATTAAGTTTTTTTCTGGCAATATTTTTTGATGTATCAATACTTCGCAGGACATCGACTTATAATTATGGCAATTGCTGTCAACAGTAGTTAGTACTACTCTAAGTAACTTTTAACTTAGCTGTGCTCTAAACAACTGACTAAAACTGAATAAAGCAAAATAAATGCGTTGCCAAAACCATGAACGAAAACTTTAATGAAGGGGATTTCCCCGCTTATAGTCGTCGATAAAAAAAATGTAGTTGATCATCCTAAAGGGGAAGCCGGGAGATCCATAGCACAGGGTATCCTAGTTTGGACTCGTCTCCCATGCTCTTTGTTTTGTGGAAAAAATATGTTTGAAAAAGATAAACTGCAATGTACTATTTGTGGGAAAAAATAAAGGTCATTATTATTATTATCGGTAATGTGGACTAACAGTGCTGCTATAAAAGAGTTAATAACCCGCTAGTCGCTACAATTTTGAAATTTGTGCTAAATACACCAAAAAGCGCTGGATTAAGTGCTAGGTGCTAAAATTTCGAAATGCGCGCTATACATTCCAAAAAAGCGCTAAATCTAGTTCCCAAAGCGCTAAAATGGCAGTACTGATTTTGCGTATATTATAAATACAATATCACGACATTTCGTTGCAATTTTGTTATTTTTGTTCGGGTTCCGTTGTATGGCTTCGATAGATACTAATTTCTTCAGTAAGTCTCAATACGATTCATTCATTCACAACACAGCAAATCAGAAAAGTTTGTAATTTGTATAACTCCATCTATTACGTCCTTTGTGTGAGAAAACATCCTTTTTTAAATCTCTTTTTATGTTTTAAGTATAAATATATTAATTATTATGGAACGTTTTTTTTACACACAAATCTTTTTATTACTATTTTTGTGATTTTTATGGCGCCATTGAACAAATTCGAACCTACATTTTAAAATAATAATCATTACTTTCGATAGAATTAACCAATTTTAATAAAACAAAGATTAAATGTAACTTGAAGATACGCTTTATGATTTTCTTAACGATTTCTTTGAAAAAAAAAGATGTTTACTTTAGACGTGATGCATTCATATAAAAACAGACAAACAGACAGACAGGCAATTCTAAAAATTATAAAAATGTACTTATTTAATTATTTTTAGTTCCCCATAATGATTTTAGTCACCAAAATAAATATACAATGTACAGAAAGAGACACAACATGTTATCATCATTTTTATTATATGTATATATTTAATTAATTGAAGAGAGATGGCGCTGCTAACATCAACTTGATGACTCGAAACAAAGCCACCGTTGAGCAAATTCCCTACCCATACTTCAGAATATTTATCATAACTTTTGATGGAATGAACCGATTTTAATGAAATAAAGACTAAATGTAACCCGAAGATACACTTTATAATTTCCTTAACAATTCTTATGATATAAATTAGTACTTTAAACGTGATACGTTAACAAACAAACAGACAGACAGACAGACAGACAGACAGACAGAAAATTCTAAAAATGGTAGAAATGTATTTAATTACTTATTTTTAGTACCCCTCAATCACTTTTATTACAAAAATATAAAATGTACAGACATCTGCTATTTACAGTTTTATTATATGTATAGATTACGGTGCGATTTTCCAAAGTCCAAATTTTAATGTATCTATCTACCTTTTTGGCCTTTTTTAACATTGATAATATATATATTGGAGATCTTTAGAGTCGAATGCTATGGTCATTAGGAGGGGGAGGATGTCGGATGTCGATATATGTATATAAGTGTACGCGTTCATGGTTAATTCTCACCTCGCATATATTAAAAAAGATACCTAACGATATCGACGTGGTTGGACTGGTTTTATTCGATGCACAGTTATGTATTTATCAAATCGATAAAGCAGTTTTTTTATCAATAAATTAACTAAAGAAATGGCATGCTTATCGAATTTCACAAACATAACCTGTCCTTATTCACCCATACAAGCTCTGAATATGATCAGGGCAGAATTTTTTTTAGTTAAAATCTATTTTTTTTCTTTTTCTTTATTCAATATCGGTGCTTCTTTGTTACAGTTTTAATAGAAAAATTGCTGCGTTCGTGCAAAGAAATAGACACAATTTACGTACTTATCAGGGCGAAAAAAGGAAAAGATGCTACAACACGGCTTCATGATCTTCTCGATGAATTCGTAAGTATGATTTAGGTGTATGAAAATGAATTGTTGTGTCTGCAAAAATTTAATAAATCTGCTTACCAATTATATTTTCAATTTTATTCTACTCAAACAGTTGTTCTTTTAATTTTAATTATAACAATAATAATACATCAAGATAGTAAGAATATTAGCTAGGAAAGGGAGGGCATAGAGGATACGGCTGTGCCTAAAAATCTATTGCCCGCTAAAAAAATTCGGTGGCTCCATTACCACTAGCGAAAAAACCTTTATTTTATTTACTACTATTAAATACGACATTTAAGATAATGCCTTATTGCAGCTTTTCCACCGCGCTCACGATGTAAATCCAAAAGGAATACATAAAGTTGTTCCAATTATCGGTGACATGGAACTGCCTGGACTTGGACTTTGTGATGAAGATAGAAAAACACTCACATCCAAGGTATTTAACATAGCACTATCTTACATTTGCGTGCCGATGGGCTAAATTAATATCAAATAGATAAAAATGGACAATGAATTAAGTGTAAGGTCCAAATGTCCAAATGTTGGAACAACCACGTTCTAGTATAGCGTAGAGCCACGCTGCAGCTATAATATCCGACCGAGGAAAGACCACGCGAATACCAGCGTAAAAAAGCAGTTTCGTTTAATTGTAGAGAACCCGTAACCCGTTTTACTGGAAACGAGGCATTCCATCTTAGTCCTTAGGTGACAACACATCTGCATTTGGAGTTTTTTCATTCAAAATTGAATAAATGTAAATGTCTATAGGCCACAGTATCCACATACCATTAGGTGGACTGTTTGCTCATTTGTCACCCTTATTCCATATCAAAAAACCTTTACTTAATGTGGGATTTTGTCGTAACTACTGACTAGAAGTAAAATAAGAAAGAAGAATTAGTCATTGTTTAAGTTTATCTTATTTGTAATTTGTTATAAAAATCACAGGTCACAATCATAATAAACGGAGCTGCAACGGTGAAATTCGATGAAAAGCTTTCTATTTCCACTGGGATCAACGTCCGAGGAACTAAAGAAATGCTCAAACTTGCGAAAGAGTGTAGAAACTTAAAAGCGTTTACCCACGTGTCGACAGCCTTTTCCAATACCCACGTGAAACATATAGAGGAGAGGTATGTTTAAATATTTATTTATGTAATAACAAATAATACATCTACATAATAATGTAGATGTATTTAGATTTGTTTTGTTTTCATATGGGTCAACTTGAATTTTTTTTTTATTAATGTAGTCGAGTTTCGGATGGCTAATAAATATTAACTTATCTTTACATTTTGAAACCCTTAGAGAATGATTCTGTTGTACTCGTATTTAGGAGCATTTCTTTGTGTTATATGATTGCACTTCTATCGATTCTAAACCATCATTCGATGTTTAATTACATAACGAGTACTTACCTAATTATTTCATTAAAATCGATTCTGTAGTTTTAACTAAGAAAAGTCGAACTTCGCTGAATAGCACCGACAATCATGTTCAAAAATCATTTTGAGACGGACTGTTTATTTTACAGATTTTACGAGCCGCCAATGACTGTAGAAGCGTTAGAAGCCGTCTCCCAACTAGACGAACGATTATTAGAGGAAATCCTGCCTAAGTAAGTAAAACTACTTATGATAATATCATTTCTACCACGTTTTTATTGGACCACTTTCTTGTTCATCTGTCTGTCTGTCGTTCCGGGTGGAATTAAGTAATTGATTTTAAATTAATTTCCCAATGAGTTGGAAACTTGAAATTTTGAATATAGCTCGAATTCGGATGACAATGCAAGAATATGAAAAAAAAACGATAACTTTTTTTAAAGAATTTTAATTGTAAAACAAAGTGCACACAACACGTGTCACGGCTTCGCCCAGGCCCAGGCCGCTTCTTATTTGTGTTCTGATTGTTATCCAGGAAAAAAACTCCACACTGCTAAAACAGCAAGCGGACTTCAGAACATGTCCTCGAAGTATTTTGAATAACTGAGACATTCTATAGATAATTAGATATTCTTAGATTTTTTATTTTATTTTCAAATTGTTATTTTTTTTAGATTTGCTTATTAGTAAAGATTTCACGTGGTATGTTTTTTAAGATTGTATTTGTTACAGGCTTTTGGGCAAATATCCGAACACTTACTGTTTTACAAAAGCAATTGCTGAAGAGGCGGTCAGGAGATACGGAGAGGGTATGCCTATATGCATCGTCAGACCTTCAATAGGTAAGGGCCAATGCTGCCTCAAAAATTTAATGTAATACTCAAACTTTTGAAAGAAATCTTAGATGCTCATGGTGAAAAGGTGCTATGCGACTAATGATAAATAGAATAATGAAATCGAGATATCCCATTAAAGACTAAAACATCGTTAAATTCAAAATAACTCGTCTAATCGTAATATTATTTTGACAGTTGTGTCCACTTACGAAGAGCCAGTTCGTGGCTGGACAGACAGCGTGTATGGGCCGACTGGACTCATCATCGGCATCGGTACTGGAGTAAGTTATTTTTTTTTATAGGAGAGGGGGCAATCGAGCATGCGGCGCACCTGATGGTAAGTGACTAGCGCCGGCCATGAACGACCGCAACACCACGGGAATTGCAGATGCGTTGCCGGCCTTTTAAAAAGGAGTAGGCTCTTTTCTTGAAGGTTCCTGAGTCGCATCGGTCCGAAAAAAGCTATTATTAATATTTAAATACTTATGCCGTGTAGTGGCGGTCAAGAATATCCACTACCCCATATCCTCCCGTGGGTGTCGTAAAAGGCGACAAAGGGAAACAGGCAGTAGATGGGCAGCAGCATCTTCTTGATAACAACAAACTAACAATAAAAAAAAAAACTGCGGTTGCCAACCCGCTCGCCAAGCGTGGCAACTATGGCAATATACCCCCCATGAGTAATGACAATAATAAACGGCCCCCAGTCCCCGGCGGCCCCGCTATTCCTGGCTACGGTGGCGACCATGGTAACGGCGGGGCAGGGGGTGCGAAGAATCTCCGGTGGAGGTTCGGTTGCCACCTTAGACGACTCGACCTGGCAACGTACAACGCACGCACCCTGAGGACTGACGAGAAGATCGTGGAGCTGGAAGAAGAGATAGACAAGTTGCGCTGGCATATTATAGGATTATCCGAAGTCCGAAGAGAGGGGGAGGACACGGTAATCCTCGAATCCGGCAACTTGCTCTATCACCGGGAGGGCGACCATCTGTCCCAAGGAGGTGTCGGATTTATCGTCCACAAGTCTCTCGTTAACAACGTTGTAAAGATCGGGAGTGTGTCGACGAGGGTTGCGTACCTTATACTCAGAATCACCAAACGGTATTCGCTGAAGGTCATACAGGTTTACGCACCAACCTCGGCACACCCCGATGAGGAGATGGAGGAAATGTATGAGGATATCTCTAGAGCCATGCATTCCTCCAAAACCCAATATACGGTGTTAATGGGAGACTTTAATGCAAAACTAGGCACAAGAGAGAACGGTGAGCTGAAAGTAGGGAAATTTGGAATAGGGCAACGGAACCCAAGGGGCCAGCAGCTGGTCGACTTCATGGAGAAAGAGGGACTCTTTATGATGAACTCTTTCTTCCAGAAGCGGCCCCACAGGAAGTGGACCTGGTCGAGCCCCGACGGTTCGACAAAAAATGAGATTGACTTCATTATGACGACCAGACGACAACTGTTCAGTGATGTCTCCGTGATCGCGAGGGTGAAAACTGGTAGCGATCACCGAATGGTTAGAGGCACACTGAACCTAAACGTTAAGTTGGAGAGGTCTCGTCTAATGAAGTCAACGCTCCATCCCCCTCGTGCTCTAATCCAAAGTCCCGAAACCTTTCAGCTCGAGTTACAAAACCGTTTTCAGTGCCTAGAAGACTGCAATGAAGTGGACGATATGAATGACAAGCTCGTGGAAACTGTCCATGCGGTCGGAGCTAAGTTCTGCAAGACCCGCCGCAGAAGAAACCAAAAACTCTCCGATCACACTCTTAATCTCATGGCTGTTAGACGGGAGATGAAGCTACATTCTTCAACAGACTTGACAGCATACAGGCATCTGAACAGACAGATCTCCAAATGCATGCGGCGGGACTTACGGAACTTCAATACAGCTCGTATTGAAGAAGCGATCGAGCGGAACCAAGGCTCCAAAGTCTTTGCCAGAGATCTGTCTGCCAGAAAGAGCCAGCTGTCAAAGCTGAAGACAGAATGTGGCAGCATCGTTTCCGGGACCCCTGAGATTTTGAGTGAGGTTGAGAGGTTCTATGGGCAGTTGTACACGTCATCGTTGGAGCCACACGCAAGTGTGAGTAACGATCCAAGAGCGAGTCTCATCCGACACTATTCCGAAGATATCCCGGACGTCAGTCTGAGCGAGATTAGAATGGCTCTCCAGCACCTTAAAAACGGTAAGGCCCCAGGCGAGGATGGAATTACAGCGGAGCTTCTGAAAGCGGGTGGAAAACCGGTACTTGAAGTCCTTCAGAAGCTCTTTAATTCCGTCCGCCATGGTGGCATTACACCGGAGGCGTGGAGCAGAAGTGCGGTGGTCTTGTTCTTCAAGAAAGGTGACAACACCCTCTTGAAGAACTACAGACCGATTTCCCTTCTGAGCCGCGTCTACGTGCTGTTTCGAGAGTCATTACGAATCGTCTCGCGCGCAGACTTGACGACTTCCAGCCTCCCGAACAAGCCGGTTTCCGAAAGGGCTTTAGCACCATAGACCACATACATACCCTTCGGCAAATTGTACAGAAGTCCGAAGAGTACAATTTGCCACTATGTCTGGCGTATGTGGACTATGAGAAAGCCTTTGATTCCGTCGAAATTTGGGCGGTGCTGCAGTCCCTTCAGCGGTGCCAAGTTGACTGTCGGTATATCGAAGTGTTGAAGTGCTTGTACAGTAGGGCTACGATGGCTATCCGAGTACAGAACCAGAGTACGAAACCTATCCAATTGCAGAGAGGTGTAAGACAGGGTGACGTCATATCCCCGAAACTCTTCACCGCTGCATTGGAAGACGTTTTCAAGCTTCTGGACTGGAAAGGATACGGTATCAACATCAATGGCGAGTACATCACTCACCTTCGATTTGCCGACGATATAGTCCTTATGGCAGAATCGCTGGAGGACCTAAGCACTATGCTCAATGACCTCAATAGTGTTTCCCAACGGATAGGTCTTAAGATGAACATGGACAAAACTAAGATCATGTTTAATGTCCATGTCACACCTATGCCGGTAGTTGTTGGGAACACTAAGCTCGAAGTTGTTGACGAGTATGTTTACCTGGGACAAATAGTCCGACTAGGTAAGTCCAACTTCGACCGAGAGGTCAATCGACGGATTCAACTCGGTTGGGCAGCGTTCGGGAAATTACGGCACATCGTCTCGTCAGGTATACCTCAAACCTTGAAAACGAGACTGTACACCCAGTGCGTGTTGCCAGTGATGACATACGGAACTGAGACGTGGTCCTTCACTGCTGGCCGGATGAGGAAGCTCAAGGTCGCTCAGCGAGCTATGGAGAGGGCTATGCTCGGAATTTCTCTGCGTGATAAACTTAGGAATGAGGATATCCGCAGTAGAACCAGAGTAACCGACATAGCCCAACGGATTAGTAAGCTGAAGTGGCAATGGGCCGGCCATATAGCTCGAAGAACCGACAACCGATGGGGAAGAAAGGTTCTCGAGTGGCAGCCTCGTACCGGTAGGCGAAGTGTAGGGCGTCCCCCCACGAGATGGAGTGACGACCTGGTAAGACATGCAGGAAGTCGATGGATGCAGGTGGCTCAGGACCGTGCTTTGTGGCATTATTTGGGGGAGGCCTATGTTCAGCAGTGGACTTGTGAAGGGCTGTAATGATGATGATGATGATGGCTTATGAATAGTGTTTAATGACGAGACTTTATTACGAGAATAATATGTTGTCAACGTAAAATTGCTGCTGTATAACGTATGGTGAATATAGAGAACCGGATACCCCTTTTTACTGGAAAAGGCATTCCATTTTGGTCCTCAGGGGTGGCAACGCATCTGCATTTTGATTCTTAATCAAGTATAGATGTAGATATTATGTCTATGGACTATAGCATCCATTTACCATCAGATGGACTGTGTATTAAAGAAACTGTTCTTGTTCATAACGTGTACCACAAAATGTATCAATTGCTACGAAGTGGTAGAGCAATAAGTGGCAAAGCCTCGCCGCAGCGTAATATTGCTACATCACGTGGTGAGCACGACTGAGGAAGAACCATTCTCCACCAGAATACTATTGTGTTTCGTATGGTAAAACCGGAGAGTCTTTTTTATAGTAATCGGGCATTATAAATCTTCAAGGGTGATAACGCATCTGCCATTTGCTTGAAATGAAATTCAATTGAATGAAATTAAATAATAACTCTTTAATTTTCGAAGTAGCGTTACGACGTTTGTCAAACGTCAACATATTTTTCTATGTCTCCTACTCTATGGTGAGTACCATACGAAACACAGCAGTGTTAAACTGCTATTTTACGCTGATATTCTGTGAGAGTGTGGTCCTTCCTCGGTCGAGCCGACCCATTCGTGCTACAACTATACTACTAATATAGCTGCAGCGTGGCTCTATTACGTATAAATATTTAGTTTGTATAAATTTAAACAGGTATTACGCACGATGTATATGGAACTGGACAAGGTGGCTGACATGGTGCCCGTGGATTTGACCGTCAATGCTATACTGGCCTCCGCCTGGTACACGGCAAAGCATTTTAAAGAAAAGTAAGTGTTTACACCTACTAATTGAAATGTCGCACTCGTATAGAGAACAATTAAAAGTATGTTTTAAGCAAATATTTTATTACATTTTTTCTCTATATTCTGAGGGTACAAAAGGAAATATGTCGAAATTTTCTCTCATCACGTCGTCAATTAATGGGTGGAACCCAAAGCTTAATTAATAGTCACTTTATAGTATCGTTATGATTCTTATTAACCATTTTACTGTGTCGTGAGTCTTATAATAACATCGATTGTCTTTTTCGCAGATAGGGAAGTTGTGGAAAATTAAAAAACTTCAAAAAATATGTTTTTTTTTTCTTAATCTTCATATTCTCCATGAGCCCGTAATACGTTTTCTACCGACTCCAAAAAGGAGGAGGTACTTAATTCGACTTATAACTTTGTTCTACGTGAACCGATTTCGATGATGAGCTGATGCTTTTTATGTGGTCCCATATAAATTTGATCAAGATAGATAGATAGACCAGTAGTTTTTGAGTTATCCTTAATAATTAATGATTAAACGAACTTACCTGTAAGTGAAGTTCTATCATAATTATGTGAGGTGTTTCGTTCGAAGAGATTAGATAACACAGGTAGTCCCACATACAATGTCGCCATCTATGCACTTAGTTTAAAGTAAAAATAAAACAAGACGGTAGATTAATATTACTTCATGGTTGCACTGCGCTCGATTTATCATTTAGTTCAGAGTATAGAAACGACATGATATTTCACAATATGAGGGTTAAAAATAAACAGGGCGGGAGGGATGCTAATCTCTTCGAACGAAACACCTCACATAATTATGATAGAACTTCACTTACAGGTAAGTTCGTTTAATCATTAATTATGCTTCAGTGTTTCGTTCTCGAGATTAGATAACACAGGTAGATGTTGAGAGTTAATTGTGAAATATCCCAACAAAATTATTTACAATGGGAAAAAATTCAATATTTCATGAATAAAATAATTAAAATTATAATCACTATAAAGTGTACACAAAAATACAGTGCTATGACATACGATTATCGTGATTAATGATACATATTTAATTAACATTAATTAGTAAACTCTTAGCGAAACTATGCCTCAGTGTTCAGTAGGTATCAGTTGATATTATCCATTATAGAACTATTAAAGAACTTCGCAAGAGTTGTGGAGGCACGCGTCCAGCCGGTAGTTTTCCTTATTATATTTAAGTTGACAGCTAGTCTATGGGCTCCAGCCGTGCTGGTGTGCCTAGTGCTATGCGCACAGAATGTTAGTAACATCAACCCCGCTAACCTCCAACTCTTTATCCATCTACTTAGCGTTTAAACAGAAACCGTATTATGGGGCTCCTTTGTACTAGTGTTGTGTGTCTAAAGTATGGATGAACTAGGGTTGGCTGATTAGAATTAACAGGAGATGTTTTTGTCAAATCGGGAACATTAGTAAAAATTTGATCAAGTGAAATTCTTATATTTTGAATATTTATTTTTAATAGGGTTTGGGTCCTGTGTGCCGTTATTAGTGTAAGAAGGCAACTAGTTTTTTTTTTAATATAGATATTTTCTCAAAAGATAGATTCTAATTCGGCACCCAACTAGCGAGAGTTTCTATTAATAAAGAGGTGTCCCAAAGTTGAATCATATTTGGGTAAAGCCTACATAAATAAACCTTTCAAAAAAAATTTTTTTTTTTTATGGTCATCCTCGCTAGTTTGGGCTCTAAATTGGTAGACTCATTAAGAAATAACCAATAATTGGTATTGATGCCTGATACATGTTGTTATTCTTGCAAAAATTATGCCATTTTTTCAGACATGTATCATAATATTTCATAGAGATGGTCGAAAGAGAAACCAATATGATCGGAATAGATGTGCAGGGAATGTTTCTTTTCAATAAAAAAGCCCGCATTAAATTCCGGCACCCAGGGTAATACGCCCATTATCTGGTAGTTGCTGGAATAAGAAACAATTAGTTCCTTAACAGAATTAAAAATCAATGACCAAAATCGACTCCAGGAGCCGATTAAACACCTATACCTAGGCTGTGATAGCCATGTCGGTACTATCAGTATACCTCTAGCTTTAACGTTAATAGTAATTTTTCTTAATGTTTTAAGTACAATTGAGAAAAAAGGAAAGAAAGCAACGTTAGTATAGCCATCAGGGTCTTAATGCAATGATACATAATATTTTGTATATTTTTTTATTTATGCTGCTAGCAAATATGTAAATATCTGGTACACAAGGCAAAATCTGAAAATCCTATTCAATGTCAGGGTGATTAGATTTGGGGTCAGTAATAGTGTTCTCGACAGATGGGATATATAAAGTAGAAACAAAAAAGATTATATGCTTGCTTCGTATCATTGCCATAGTTTTTAGCAACCTTAGGTAAATGTCCTGTATATTGCATTTTTCATTAATTTTTCGTACATGCGATTTATGTACGAAATTGCAGTTGTATTATCTATACGTAAGATTATTTGACTATTGGATAATGTTTTGGCATATAATTTAAGTCCAATGAAAGCAGCTATTAACTCTAAATCTAATCTAGATAATTAATATGATGCTTTCGTTCAGCGTTACTTGAAATATCGCTTGCAGTCTTTCTCATACAGGCCACGCCCCATCCCGTTGTTGAGGCGTCAGAATTAATTTCCAGACTGAATTCATAAAATTTTTATTTATTTACAAATTGATCGATGGATTTTATCGACCAATTAAAATCTAGATCTAATGTAGGTTTTAACGAAAAATTATGACAATTTTATGACTATACCAGTCACCCATAATTTTCGTTTCCTATAAGATTAAGGAATTTGCACCTTTTGAACTCCATAGGGTGAAGTCAGGTATATACAATAGCTGAACAAGCTGAACGTTAACAGGCTTACTGAGCGTACAAAGTTCCTGATTCTAAATCTTTTATGATTTTTTTTTGCTAAGTATTTTTATAATATGGCTTTAATTTTTACACATTCTATAAAAGGTAAACTGATTTCCATTATATTGGAATTTATCATAAATCTGGGATTTATCATAAATTCCAATACAAAATTATATTACTAGGAATCATACATCTTTTAATTTTATGAATAATGAAACCTAAGCCACAAAAAAGTTTCTTCATAACGTCAATATTTTTTACACATTTGTTATAGGTGCGTGATATAAGACATAAGTCATAGATTGTTATATATAATTTACAATAAGTAGTATGGGTAGCTTACTGACGGGTTACCAATACCACCAATGCGTCGTAAGAGTTTAACAAACAGTTTCATTATTTTTGTAAATACGTAGGGTACAGTATTTATGCCGAACTGGAGAACATTAAATTCATATAAAATATTCCTCAATATAAAATTTTCATGAATTGTCATGAATTTTATTATTTAAATTAATACAATTTGATTAGAAAGAATGCGTATTTGTGGTTAATTGTTGACATAAACAACTTTTTGAAACAAGTTTTGCCATTGTTCTAAGATCTTCCAATTTAAAATGTTTTGTGTTTACAAAAATTTGTTCACATTTTTAAATTAAGAATAAAACGAGTCCTACCGTTCGCTTTCGGTACTAAGAATATTTTAGTTATGAATTGACCATCACAGGGTTCAACATTTTGAAACAGCGCCTATAGACAGTGAACTATCTATATTGCCCAATCGAAATCTTTTGTTTCTGATGGAGAACAGTTAAGTTTTAGAACATCATACTGATAAGGTGTTTGTGAGAAGGGTATTTTATTCACGATATAGTTTGAGCTGATCGTTATTTATAACCATAGGTCATAGAAAAGAGATAGCCTGCTGGCAAAATTTACCTCATCATCTAGCGGCGGCCACGACTGTTGCCCGGACGTGACGCTCACGATGGTTGTAATTGCTGTTGGCTTGTCAAAGGCGTAGGCCCCTGTCGGCCTGCAGATCGGGGCTTTGGCTTTCCAGCTGAAATTCTTGTTGAAAGGCAAGATTTTTGGTTTGTTTGCATGGACTTTTTGCGTGGTGACAGCTTCAGCTCCTCATTAATTTATTGTTTTAGCAGTTGTTATGTCTGAAAGCACTTGTCCAAAGAGCAAGTTATCTCTGCTGCATCAGTCTCTCTTCAGTGTAGTCAGAATAAGACTACGTCTAGTGACCGAATCCTTATGTTGTGCACACAAGATGCGTGCTGTATAATATATTAGCAATTTTAATATTGCTGGATCTTTTGCATCTTTAGACAATAGAACTGTAAATGTTTAACTAAGACATGCTATAGTGCTACATATTTGTATTTGTTTAGCTTGTATAGCTTTCTGGCTTCACTATATCTTCTTAAACAGCACAACTTTTATCTCTGGATACGAGGAGGGAACGTCTATCATTTTACAGTTAGCTGGAGGTAGATGCGATTTTAAGAGCTCTTTATAGAGTTACCTGGTCTATTTCGATGCAGAAGTTGTTATAAATTCGAGGCGAATGGCCAAGCCCTTCCGCATGTTCTTTCCAAAAAATAGCGGTTGTTGAAGGCCCTGTTTTTAAAATTTCTAGCACCATTATTAGACTGCTGACTCCTTCTCGGTAGGAGGTGGTTGTTCGGTCGCTGATTGTGGAGGTTCGAATATCACTTCAGGTGCATTGAACGCCAATAGCGAGCTAGTTGTCGGTCCTAGCTCGCGCAGGTCCGCAGTTAGCATTTCAACATTTTCCGATTCGTTGATTACGTCATTATTGCCCGAACTAATGTAAAATGTATATTTTTCGCATAGAAAATTTATATACAGATACTTCTTTTTTTTTTTTTGGGTTTGTAAGGACAAAAATAATATTTCGAGAGCTTAATTTACCTTAAATAAACACATATCGGTAATTATATGTAATGTACCTAAACAGGTAGTATAAAAAAATATTTATGCATTTGTATGTAAACGCACAAAAACAGCGGGTAAGATGAACTCATGGGCGTTGCATCGTGAACCCGAGTTTTATAGGGATAAGTTACAATTCGAGCATTGTAACGTTAATCCTTGTTAAAATCGGATGGTAATAACTCAAATCGTTGAAAAGTATATCCGTTATTGTAATTACCTTGAGTATCAGTTGACTTATGTACTGAATCCGGGGGCGATGACGATCTGCAGCGTTGGCTTTTTAACAGTTGTCTTCAAGTTTTTATTCGTAATATGATTTAAGGAATCCAAGTCGTCGTGTTTCCTTTTCGGTATTTTATTAACTTTAAAGTAATTTAAAGGCAATAATTTAAAATAAAAAACTTTAGCACTATAATTTATACAAAAATTAACACAGTTGCAAGACGTGCGAAGTGGCGGAGCACTGAAATGTGAATGATAAATCGAGCGCAGTGCAACCATGAAGTAATATTAATCTACCGTCTTGTTTTATTTTTACTTTAAACTAAGTGCATAGATGGCGACATTGTATGTGGGACTACCTGTGTTATCTAATCTCGAGAACGAAACACTGAAGCATAATATATATTGAAGTCGGTTGAACAAAATTTTAAATTTTTAATTATTATTAGAAAGATTCATCTGCATCGTTAAAGTTAAGTTACAACCTGTGCGACCCCATGCTAGCTGGGCACAGGACATTTGTCCGCCGCGCTGCTACTGTACGTGTTGACTGTTGACGGACTTTACATGTTCTCTAAATGTTTTACAAGTAGAAATAATAAGAGGCCGGTGCCCATCAGTAGAACGTATGCTGTAATTTTATCCATATTTAGTAAGCTTTATAAATATTATTTAATGATAAAGTAAATCCTTCAGCCCCTACAAAGGTACTGGCAAACTATACCTATCTATTATTTATTCTGTAAAAAATAATAGTCATTTAACTTTCCTACCGACTTCAAACAGGAGGAGGTACTCAATTCCACTACATGTTTTATGTGTGTCATAACTTCTTTCTGGGTGAACCGATTTCTGGTGCTTCACATGTGGACCCATATGAATTTAATCAATGTCTGACCAATAGTTTTTGAGTTATTGTTAATAATTTATATTGAAGTCAGTCGTACAAAATTTTTAATTTTAAATTATTAATTATAGCCAAACTTCAACCATCCCTATCTACAACTACGTGTCGGGCGCCCAAAACCCTATCAGTTGGGGTGATTTCATCGAACTCAACAGAAAGCACGGCATGGACAAGCCTACAACGAAGGCCGTTTGGTAAGATCTTTATTTCCTAGACATCTGTTATTGCTTTTACCAATCCAACTACCAAGCGTGGCCTCCCTTCTTTAGAAGAGGGCCATTTTCGGCAGTTAACTATTTAGGGACTGGTAAATAATTTAAATATACACGTATGAGAATAAAATATATAAATAATTTCTTAAAACCAAAATTACAAATAGATATAGCTTATAGAATTCAAGCTTTTTTACATAGTAGAGCCATGCTGCAGCTATATTAGTAGTATAGTTGTAGCGCGAATGGGTCGGCTCGACCGCGGAAGGACCACGCTCTCACAGAATACCAGCGTAAAATGGCAGCTTGACACTGCTGTGTTTCTTATGGTGAGTGTAGAGAACCGGAGACCCATTTTACTGGAAAAGAGGCATTCCAACTTAGTCCTCACGGGTGACGACGCATTTGCATTTTGATTCTTTATTGAGGATAAATGTAGATGTCTATGTGTCACAGCAACCACTTATCATCAGGTGGACTGTGTGCCCGCTTGTCACCCTATCCTATAAAAAAAAAAAGCTTCAAGCTGCTTTAGACCAGAACACTGCAATGCCAGTAGGTAGTGCTATTTAGTGGTATAAATAGTTAAATAATTTTAAATACTAGTATGCTTTAATTACTTAATGATTTAGTGTTGATATTATTGTTTTTTATAGCATAATGGTAACAAACGAGCACACAGTCCAACTGTTGGTAAGTGGTTGCTGTGACTCATAGACATCTACATCTATCCTCGATTACGAATCAAAATGCAGATGCGTTGTCACCCGTGAGGACTAAGAGTGGAATGCTTCGTTTCCAATTAAATGGGTCTTCGGTTCTCTACACTCACCATAGGAAACACAGCAGTGTCAAGCTGCCATTTTACGCTGGTATTCTGTGAGAGCGTGGTGCTTCCCCGGTGGAACCGACCCATTCGTGCTACAATTATACCAGTAATATATGTACATAGCTGCAACATGGCTCTACCACGTAATACTATGTTTTAATAATCTTAATTTCCCTCACATTATACAGGGTTATTTTACAAAATACGCCTAAATTTGCAGAGAATGTTCAGAATAAGTAATATAGGCGAATGGTGAAGAAAAATTAATAAAAAAATCTCAAACATTCCGTTATTTTATCCTTTGAATTCAGAATGCGTGGTAATGCATTATTTTTCAACCGACTTCAAAAAGGAGGAGGTCCTCAATTCGTGGGAATTTCTTTTTATGTATGTTCACCGATTACTCGAACACCTGAACCGATTTCAATGATTCTTCTTTTATTTGAAAGCTGGTGCTTTTCGTTTGGTCCCGTATAAATTTCATCAAGGTCTGACCAGTAGTTTTCGAGTTCTCCTTAATAATTTATATTGAAGTCGGCTGTACAAAATTTTTGATTTTACCACTTGTAACTGATTTTCATTCATAAATATCGAATGCCTACTATTTTACTTCTCACGCACACATTCGTAAGGGTCGCTCGGTCGGCGAAAACGTTGTGAATTGGATACACGCAGAGGTGCAATTTCACATTCAATCTGAGATAATTTCAAATAAAAGTAGAAGCCTTGTTTACTCGTATTTTCAAAAACTGCAATAAAGGTGTATCATTATTTATATATTTGAACTTACGTATAAAATTTGGATACCACTTCTTTAAAAAATAACCCTGTACCTATATTGTTTATGGATTAAATGTGTAACTATGAATATTATTAAGGTTTATAAATAGGCATGTAATGATTTACGTCCTATTTCAGGTACTACGGTCTAAACCCAACGAACAACTACTACTTGTTCCTGTTCTATAATTTCTTTCTGCACTTCATTCCTGCGTTACTTGTGGATATCTACTGCACGTTGACGTGCCGGCGAAGAGTGTAAGTTCATAGTCAGCCGGTATACGTAAAATGTAATCGTATTCGATGACAGTATGGATACTGCCTTACTATTTTTTTAACTTCCCGCTATGAAAATCAATGATTTTCAAAAAATTGGGAAGTTATTGGTTTCACTCCAGTTCACGAAAAATCAAAGTTTTCATCAGATCTCGGCGTTTTGAGGTCTTAAGAAGCAGTTCTGACTATTCCTACGAGGATGTCACCATGTCTGTATGTATGTATGTATATATGTATGTGTGTATATAGAAACACAGATGTAACAATCAATTCCAAGATCTGATCAGCTCATAAACACAAAAAACGACGTCGATTGCTGCAACCATAATGCTGCGGCAGCGTAGCTGTACCACGTAAATACTAAGACAAGTCTAAGATTGCAATTTTTATTTTGCTGAGCTTTTTTTCTCGAAAATGTATATTATATACTTTCACAGTGGTACTGTGGTGGCAGTCACCTTACCACAATAACGCATCTGAATTTACAACTGCAATTTAAATCACGCTATGGAATATTCGAACGACGGACGGTTGGATGTTGTGCTGGCTGAAAATTTCGTCTTCGGAAAAATTCCTCTTTTTCCTTTTTTTTTTATATAACTAAATAGACAAACGAACTTTCAGTCCACCTAAGTGGATACTGTTCATGTCCATATGCACGCATAAAGACTAAGATGGAATGTCTTACATCCTGTAATTATACTGGCCCTCTTTACACTTTAGACCTTCCGGTCTGTGTTCCCACAGCAGTTCAAGCATAGTACTAACTAACACAGAGTAAAAAGTCGGTTGCTTTACTCATTTGGTACTGATATGTGGCGGACAAGTAGAAGTAGGTGAAAGGGTTGTTACTAGGCAGGCGGACTTTTAGACAGGAGCCCTATAGTTTTATATGAACCTTGTATACTAAAAAAGTATGCTATTCAACCAGCAATATCAATAAGGAATATTATGTATGGATGTTATGTTAGTTTATCCTTCTTCTTTTCCGTCAGTCCGTTTATCGTAATTTATATGTTTTTTTTTTTATAGAATATAGGTGACAAGCGAGCACACAGTCCACCTGATGGTAAGTGGTTTCTGTGGCCCATAGACATCTACATCTATCCTCGATTACGAATCAAGATGCAGATGCGTTGTCACCCGTAAGGACTAAGATGGAATGCCTCGTTTCCAGTAAAATGGGTCTCCGGTTCTCTACACTCACCATACGAAATAAAGCAGCATTAAGCTGATATTTTACGCTGGTATTGTGTGAGAGCGTGGTCCTTCCCCGGTCGAGCCGACCCATTCGTGCTACAACTATACAACTAATATAGCTGCAGCATGGCTCTACCACGTCACGTATGTATTTATGTATGTTAATTAAGTTTGTAGTAAATGAAGCGGTTGTGCCACTATTTCACGAAAGCCATTAAAATTGTCCTGGCATTAAAGATCTTAAAAAAATTATTTGCCAAGATCCACGCAATAAAAAAATGAAATGTCTTACCTAGTTTGAAGAGCACCTCCCGCCCTTTCTCAATAGCGTGCACTATGCCCGTCACCACTAATCCCAGCACCGCTACTCTCAACACCACTACACTAGGTAAGACACATTATTGTAGACTCTGCGGTGGCTGATCGCTATTAACTTTCTGGTATTTTCTGTTGTCGCTTTTTCCAACACCCACGGAACGAATATGATGATGGGTTCTCTTTCAGGGCTACCACATAGCACCCGTCATCACAATGTGTTTGGTATTTTGTATTGGATGTAGTCAAAAATATAATAAGATAAAAACTATTCACGGTATTTTTTTTATAGAATAAGGGTAACAAACGAGCACACAGTCCACCTGATGGTAAGTGGTTGCTGTGACCCATAGACATCTACATTTATCCTCAATAAATAATCAAAATGCAGATGCGTCGTTACCCTTGCTGTGTAGTGGCGATGTAAGATTACCCACTACTCCATATCGTCTCGTGGGTGTCATAAGAGGCGACAGAGGATAGAATAGAATAGAATAGAATGATTTTTTATTCAATATGGATTATTACATAATACTTATTGAAAGTCATTATTTTATTTACCACTGGTTCGGAACCAATACCTCTGTCCTGGGAAGAACCAGCAAGAAACCCAGCGGGACTTTTTTTTTTAAACATAATTTCACTTAACAATAATTTTGTTTATACAATTTTAAATGAATTTTCATAGAACCAGCATGGTGGCGATCACCTTATTCCCAGGGGTTATTTTCATTAATGTATTCCTTGATATTATAATAACCCTTTTTGTACAGTTTTTCTTTAATAAAACTTTTAAACTTGTTTATTGACAAACTTTGAACATGTTCTGGGATTTTGTTGTAAAAGCTGCCCCATAAATGAATTACTGAAAACGGGAAACTGAAACAGGAGATGGGCAGCAGCATCTTCCTGATAACAACATAATATAATATAATTTAAAATTAAAAATTTTGTACAGCCGACTTCAATATAAGCGACTTCAATATAGGTTATTTAAAAATAACTCAATAACCAGTGGTCTGACCTTGATCAAATTCATATGGGACCACCCGAGAACTATCAGCTTTCATATAAAAAATAATCATCGAAATCGGTTCGCCCAGTATAAAGTTATGAGACATAAAAAAAACATACAGTCGAATTGAGTACCGTCCCCTTTTTGGAAGTCGGCAGAAAAAAACTGTGGTTGCCAATTCGGTTCCCAAGCGTGACAAGTGACAACTATAGCAAAATCGCCTCTATGAGACAATGTTTGGGGGAGGCCTATATTTAGCAGTGGATTTTTATAGGCTGTAATGGATGGATGTATTTTTATTCACAGTTTAATATTTTTTCTTCTAGCTGTTATGTCACATTGTAATTTTTGAGTATAAGATCCGTTTGTAAAAAAAAAATTCAATAATTTAATTGTTTATCTCCAGAATGTTAAAGCTGTATAACAAGGTGATGAAGATTGCCAAAATTCTATTTTACTTCTCTACACAAGACTGGAGGTTCACCGATAACAACGTGAGAGAGATGTGGCGCTCCCTGTCAGGAGCTGACCGTGCTGTGTTTCCCTTCAGCATAAGCGAAATGTCTTGGGATTACATGACTGAGACGTTCTTGTTAGGTGGGTAGTAAACAGAAGTTTAGACTCATCTAACCTTAACTTTCAATTCTGTATTCATTTTAAAACGAAACAAGTGGCAAAATTAAAAAAAAAATTTACAACCTACTTCAATATAAATAAAATGAGAACATGATCAATGTAGTCGAAGTCAAAATTAAAAACGCATTATTAAAGATAACTCAAAAACTACTCTTGATCAAATTTATATGGATTCACATGAGTTGCACCACCTTTCAACTAAAAAAAGAATCATCAAAAGGTTCACCTAAAATAAAGTTCCTGAGGTAACACACATAAAAAAATGCAGTCGAATTGAGAACTTCCTCCCTTTTTTGAAGTCAGTTGAAAATTGGACGATCCATTTCTGGTATTCTTTTTTGTTATTTCATTACTCTTTCCTAAAATCAAATGAATACATTCTTTCTTTCTTCAATCGTGATATATAAAAGGGACAATGCAAAACAGAAACAAGGGCTTATTAGTGCAGCTGTATTTATAGGGATACACTTCTGGCACTGTATTTCCAATTTCTCATGTCGTTTTCAATTAGCCACAATTTCCGACCATACGTACTTTTAGCACATAATTTACTTAGATTATTTCTCATTTCATTGCATTGATTGGATGTTATCCTACTTCAAATTAATCCTAAATTAAATTGCACGAATCTGTGAATGTTATGTACACTAGTTATTGATATGCCTATCAGAAAATATAAAAGTGTGTATGTTTTTGTGATAATGTCATATATGTATATTGTAAGTGTATTTGTTAAATAAATAAATAAAATTATATATTTCAGGCATTCGTGTGTACCTGGTCAAAGACGATGTGTCAACTCTACCTGAAGCGAGGAAAAAGTGGAACAGGTAAAATTCGCAATTATCTACCGCTATGGATTTGTTAATCCGCTCAAGTGTCCCATGTTTTTAATTTCAACTCTCTATCATTGAAACAAAACAAACATGTGAAATATCACTTTTGTTTTTAGTTTTTCCTTTATCTAAAAGCTAAACAGTTATCTATTTGTTTTACTCGTAATCATTACTATTTATCCATCCGATTACGGTAAAGCTTTGGTGAGTTGTATGCGCGCCTGCGAAAGCGTCTGACAAAAAAAATCGATGTAACGCATGCCGTACACAGCTAGTACAAAACTAATAAATTAAAAGTATTATTCTTCTCCATCAACACGTAAATGTCCACTCCTGATATGGTCACACTGATATGGTCTAGTAGAAGGCTTTTATTTTTGCATTCATATTTGCCTCGTTTAGTTAACAGATTGGTGATCACAGCACCAAACGTCTTCCAACGTTGTAGCCGTTCTCTGCCACCGGTCGAAGGAGTCACGTCTGTGTATAAATGGGACCATTATATCGCCATATTTATGATATTATTATTGCTAGCATTTATTTAACACTTGAAACGTAACAAAATGGGTTAATAAATTAATTTAAGCGTCTCCCACACACAAGCGGCTTGCGGTGGCGGTCGCCGTGGCGGCCAGTTATATTCATAAGTGAATCTGCAAACATTTGCCGTCATATCGCGGCATTTGCGAGCGGGTGGCCGCAGCCGCACGCTCTATCCCCTCTGCCACCGCGTGTGTGAGAGCGAGCGTGCGGCCTATCGGTGGCCGCAGCGCGGGCAGTTGCAAACACAGACCACTAAGATAATACTGCACATGTTGCAAATTTTTACAACAGGACGTGCTTACCGCGTGAAAAATGGCGTTAAATACAGAGAAACAATGCAAAATTACCCAGTACTTTATGACACTTCAAACCGTGATTACGGAAACATTAGGATTAAAAACGAAATATGGAATAATATTGCTGAACATAATAAGAGTAATAAAACTTCTTCACTGTTAGCCATATTGACCGACGTTCGATCGTAGCACATACAATACAGCGAATGGCGCTTCAGCCTTCAGGCCGTCACGCCACTGCGACCGCGGTGGTGTGTTGTTGCAGCGGTTGGAGCCGCCGCTCGCGGTTTCAACACGCCACCGTAAGCCGCTTGTGTGTGGGAAACGCTTGTGGACTTAACGAGGATACAACATTTATAAAAATTAAAATACTTAATTAAGGTTGCTGTTAAGAATTATATTTTTTGATATGTGTTTTTACATATATAACTTTTTGTTTCAGATTATACTACATGCATCAATTTCTGAAAATAACCACATTGTCTGTGGTTCTTTATCTAGGATATTTGTTTGTACGTCTGTTATTCTCGCTTATCCTTGGTTGACATGTTGAATAAATTGTGATTAGAATTTTAATAACAAAACAATATTGTGGTGTTTATTTTTAATAGTACAATGTTGAGATTGTCGCCGTAATGCGTGAAAGTTCTGCCGAATATATTTTTCTGAAATTAATTACATGGTGTAAAATAAAGATTAAAATTTTACTATACATTATTTATACCAGAATAGGCTTTATTAATGAATTTTTGGGATGAAATAATTAAGCATAAGTTAAGTATTAAGCATTAGGCATAAAATCATGTACAGTTTTTATGATTTGCTATAGTACAACACTTAAAATTATATATGTAAATAATAAATATATCAGGCATTGTGATCTATAATAAACAAAGATTATGAAAGAAATGAGGTTAGGTGTTTTTACAAAACAATTGTATAAGATGGGGGTATGATTTAAGGATATTTATGTATAAGCTGAATGAATCATAAATAGAAATCAGGCAAATTTTTGATAATTTTCGAATTTCATAATTTTGCTCAAGAGTTTTATACTCACCTAGTGCAATTGTTTATACTTATAGAATGACTAACATGTTGTATGCATTAAAATTTGTAAAAAATACAAAATAATATTTATGTAGTGATTTATAAAATAAATAAATAGGTATTATATTTAACATGATATACTTATTTCCCAAAAGAAAATTTCGTTTTGGAACCCAATTTTGCTTGTAGGGTGAGTGGGGGGAAGATCGAACGGTTTTTTGATGAGATGAGCAGTGTTGTGTTTGACATCTTGTAGAACAGTACATATTAACTTAAGCTAAAATTTTATCTGTAGTGAATAAAGTACAAAGAGCATATTTTCATGTCATATCGATAAATCCCTGTTATATTTATTGGAAAACAAAAAAAAATAATTACAATGTTTTTATTGAAAGAAAAAAACAGGGAAAGATGAAAGGGTGGTGGGGAAAGATCGAAGTAGTTTTTAAAATCGTTCAAATTAATGTCAGATGATATTGACGGTTAGTAGGCTACAATTTTAATTGTCCTGACACTTCAGAATTGTCTATAATTTCAAAATACCTTCAAATAACACAGATAACACAAATTATTTGTTTTTTATAATTCAATCTTGCCCCGCCGGTATGGAGTGTAGAGTAGAAGGAGGACCATCTCTGTATATGAAAAGTGTCCCTAAAAACGCGTCCAATAAGGGTGGCGCTGCAGTAGCATAGGATAAATTTAAAAAAAAGCGCCAAAATTTATTAGAATAAGATCGAGAAATAAACAAGGACCGACCAATCCGCTTGGTTTTGTACTACGTAAATAGTTGAGGTTTTGTATACTGGCATTTTACTAACTACTCTAGTCATGAAAATTTTTAAATATTTGAGTTCAGCTGCGTCACTCCGTCTACAACAGCTATATTCATATCGTAGTTTTTCAGACGACAGCGCTATTGTGGTAGGTTTTGGAACCTCTATTTTCGGTATAATATTGGGACACTTTTTCAACTTTCGCACCTTATAAGATGGTTCTCCTTCTACTCTACACTCCATACCCGCCGGGGAAAGATTGAACTAGAGGTTCTCAAACTTTTCACTTTACTTGAATAAGGTTATACAGAAAATGAAAGGTATCAATCATATATTTTTTTTGTTGTTAATGCCAAGATAATTTCAAACACAATTACGTACATGTACCTTTTACCATTTTCGTTAACAAAATATGTAGCACAAAACGTAAAAAATTAAATATTATAAAATTAAACAGCTAACCAATTAATAAGATCTTAAATGCCACAACTAAAAACATAGAAAAACTTCTAAAAAAATATAATTTAAACATTAGTAAAAAAATTGGTAGTAGATCCACGTCTACATTTCAATGTAACATAAATGAGCAGGGTCGACCGGTGCGATACTACCCTCTCACAGAAAATCAGCGTAAAGTGATTAGCTTCTTAGTGGCTGCCATGTTTTGTTTGGTGAGTGAGAGTTCCGGATGCCCGTTCCTTTTCCCCTTTTCTTAAGGCCACCTGAATGTTGACGTTTACTAGATAAACCGATGTGACGTTGCATTGTTCTAGGAGTTGTGATCTTGCATTTACTAACGAGTGTCTGGTGGTCTTTCCCCTTTCTTTAAGTTCCTACTCCCATTCCTACGATTCCTGTTCCTATACCTTATGAGAAGGCAACACACAAGTAACACTCCTGTTGTATCTTGTGTCTATAGGCAGCGGTGAAATCACTTAGCCATCAGGTGACTCGATTGCTTTTTTTGCCTCTCTTATAATATACAAAAATTTAAATAAATACCTTTAGATAACAGTAGCTGAAATTGTGCCGCTGACAATTTATATAATGGCTCTAACAAAACAAAACATTTTTTCAGGTACAGTTTGAGAACATGAGACATTTGTATGACTTTTGAAAACGGAGCAAGATGGAAACTTTTACCTATATGTTTATCTTACCCCGTCAAATATTGGCGGGTAAAGACGGAATGTTACAATAAATCCTAAAATCCAAAAAGTAGCGATATTTAGACATAGCACTATAACTACCAATTAAAAATAATAAGTATGTATACAAATAAAAACTCGTACCTACCTCGTAAATCAAGTTACACGACACGGGGTAAGATTAAAACACCCGACTTGCTCGCGTAAAATTCACAGCGTAGATATTCCCTTATAACACACAACCGATCCCTCAAAACGACAAGTGCCGACTTAGGTGTGGTACGTAACAAAATGGCGGTCTTATGAATGTTGTCTGTATTGGATAAATTACTGATATAAATTACTTAATTACTGATGCCTTTTTGTGTTACCCCGTTTTTCATCTTCCCCCCACTCACCCTACATTGAGCATAATGTGAGCTACATTATAAATATGAGATACCTATAGTTCGTCTGTGTAGGCAAGTGTGTTTGACTGCGTCGTTGGTCTAAGCAGGTGTCTCCATACTACGGCCCGCGGGCCAAATCCGACCCGCGACAGCTAATACTAGTGTCATCAATCTAGCCCGCGAAAGCCAATGTCTTATTGTTGTTACTATTCAAAGACGTTTAAATAGTTATACTACTACTTTAATGTCTTTGTTACTATTGCTGTGATAAGTTGAAGAAGAAAACACAAAATGATAATTATTCGGTTTTATTTACTTGCAAGCTAAAACTTAACGACAGAAATGATGTCGCAGAAAACCTAAGTACCTATCTAAATAACTAACAAATAATTGAAATGAATGCCACTAATCACAGTAAAACAAAAAACACTAATGAGATTTATGTCATTGTGATTTTCTACCGACAATAGTTTGTAGTTGTGGATCAATTTTACTTGTACCAATTATTAAAAGAGATTTAACATGCTCATCAGTTAATTTAGATCTGTAAACATTTTTTGTGTACTTCATTAAGATGGATTACTTCATTAAGTAGCCAGAAGTCTTCACCATTCCAAATCAAGAAGCTTCAACAGTTGCAGATAAGCTAGTTCATGAAGTCTTTATTTTATTTTATTTTATTTTTATTTTAATAAGGATAACAACAGCGTATATCACTAAATACAATTTTCAATTTCACTTCAAGTATGCCAATAACAGTCATCCACATATTAAATATAAAGGTAAGCCAGGTACAATTATAATAAATAAAAACAATGCAAATTAGACCAATTTAAAACAGCTTAATAAAATAACAGTAATAAAAATTAAGTAATTTTAGATTTACTAACATTTACATATTAAGCCTTACTGATAAATTGATATGCGATTTACTTCTCGAGTATTTTTTTATTAATTTATTTATATCATGGCATATTATATTATATCTATCACACATATACATATATACATACATACACACATACATATATATATATATACATATACATATATATATATACACATATACATACATATACATACATACATACACACACATACATATACATACATATTCTAAAATATTACATAGTTTACTTATTATTTAAATATAGATACCTACAGAAAGTGTTCTTCATAATGTACCTTACCTGCATCCTACGTAAATGGTTACAAATACAGGTAATTCAAACAACAGAAGCTGTGTTCAAAATGAATGCACGTACCTTGTTTGTAAAATCACTTTTACTGCCTATAAAGGGATCGATGGTATTAAATGTTTTGTTATAATTTGATAACAATCGTGTTAAGATACTATTTTTACCGTAAAGTGTGGAGTGACGAGGAATACAAAACATAGTTTCCTTGGTGATTCTAGTACGTTTTTTTTGCACATTAAACGTGACATTATTCAGTAAATCCGGACAGTCAATACCTTCGCGTAAAATATCATATAGAAATCCCATATCTAACAGTCCTCGTCTTTCTTCGAGCGTAAGAAGGTTATAGTGTCGGCAGTCATCTAAATATGATGAGCTATTATGTTTAAATTTATAGTTCAGGTGTGAAATAAATTTACGTTGAATTCTTTCAATATTGTTAATGTAAATTTTAAAAAACGGTGACCAAACCTGGCATGCATACTCAAGAGTGGATCTTACATACGAAAAATAAACTATTTTAAGACTTAGTAATTCCGTAAATGGAAGACATGTGCGCATGACAAATCCAAGATTACGAAAAGATTTACTACATATACTATTGATATGATCAAGCATGGTCATGCCGGCATCAAAGAGTACGCCTAAATCTCGAACAACTGTGACCCTCTCAATTAAAATTCCATTAAAATTATAGGGAAATACTATTGGATTCAATTTCCTGGTGAAAGATATACACTGACATTTAGATATGCTTACATTTATGCCGTTAGCTACGTAAAAGTTATATAAAGAGGCAAGATCTTTTTGAATAGATTCGCAGTCTTCAATAGTACGAACACTGAGAAATATTTTCTTATCATCGGCATACAGTAAGTGATGGCAGTTACTTATAAATTTATGTATATCAAATATATATGCGTTGTGGAATAGGGGGCCAAGATGAGAGCCTTGAGGCACGCCAGATGGGATAGTAATAAAAT